CCCAACTTTCATATTTTGATAAGGTATCCTGAGACTGAAATCCATCACAGGTATCAATGAACCATTTAGGTTCAAAGAAGCAAATAGGGACAGCCCAGGTGGCTCAGTGGTTTAGCGCCGGCTTCAGTCCAGGGTCTGATCCTGGGGCCCTGTGATTGAGTCCCACGTTGGGCTCCCTGCATGGAGCCTGCTTCTCCCTCTGCCTGTGTCTCTGCCTCTCTCTCTCTCTCTGTGTGTGTGTCTCTCATGAGTACATAAATAAATAAATCTCTTAAAAAAAAAAACAACTAAATAGATTCTTCCCCATAGGTTTGGCAGATATTGACAGACTCTGAAAATGAGTGTCTATTTCTAATTGTTTCTTTTTCCCCAAAATTAATGTTCTTTCTAAATCAGACATTGCAAATAAGTGTCATCTCCAGGTCCAGTCCATTTGACCAGTAGTGTTAGGAGTTGGTTGGACAGTGAGGTGGTCAGGGCCAGGGTCCCCAACGAGAAAATATGGAGTCAGGAAAGCTAAGAGAAGACAGCACTAACATCCTGTCTGCAACTTAGACACGATCACATTGGCATTCTGCTTTGCAGCCTTTGCAGAAATAACTTCTGCAGAACGTCCTAAAATAAGACAGTTAACCACAAAGCATTCGTCCCTATTACAGGCAATGGGGAGTGAGGACCTAATGTCAGCCCCCAAAAACCATCAGCACGTGGACATCAGCCCACCAGGTAGACAGATACATGACCAAAGCCCTGATTGGCACCACTCAGCACACCCTGATTGCTTAAGGTTGTTCTGCAAAAGAGTTCATTAGACCCCTAAACTTCAAAACCCCGAGGGCAACCCTCTCGGATCCCCTCCCTCTTCGGGAGCTTTGTACTATCCTCAATAGCACTCTGCTTGGCTGCCCACCACTCCCCATCTGGTCCACCTCTTCATCCTTGCATGCGTGTGACCGAGAACAGAGGGCGCTACGGGGAGAGAAATCTCGTGTCACTAGCAGTTTCCCACACCCCTATGTTGAGAAGGTTTCTGAAGCCAGGTGCAAACCTGGTGGGAGTAAAGAGTGCCATGAGGAACAGGGATGGTCTTGGGTCCGAAAGGGGAAAGACAGCAATACAGGCACGCCACATGCCATCTGTGTTCCCCATCTTTTCATTTAGACCAGTGTTTTCTTCACCTCCCGTTAAGTACCTCTGAAGTGAAATGAGTCTGGGGACTGGGTATTCTATCATCTTCCACTAGGAAAATTTAGTCCATTATCAAAGTCGAAATGGATCTAAAGGTAATTCAACCAAAGCATTTGGTTACTTACAGAGTCTTTGACAAGCAGCTCAATTCCAGTAAAATCTTTATAATGATCAAACAACCAGTAGTTGATTCACTTAAACAACTAATTTACTTAAAAAAAAGACTTGTTATTTCGTTTTTGACTAAAACAAACAAAACCCTGCTTTTTGCTTCTTTGGCTTTTAAGCTAGTCCCATTAGACACAGTCCAAAAGATAACAGAAATCGTGACCTTCCTTCTCTTCCGCCTCCTTAGGCCTGGGTGGCAGCAGTTTTCTGTTTAGGCTCTGTGTCACCACAGCATGATCTGAAAAGTAATTAACTACTTTAGGAGTTAATCCAGCATATACTTTGAAGCAGAAGCAATTCCATTCCTAATAGTTGCCTGGCAGATTGATTCCTACTTCTGGCTCTTGAAACTGTATGTAGTAATTGCCCCAGAATTTAAAAATCATCTGGGGAGTTCCTTCTTCCGCATCTTGGGTACAAACAGCTAATGACTTTGACATTTTGTAGTGTGTGTGTAAGTGTGTGTGTGTGTGTGTGTGTGTGTGTTGTAGAGGAAGAGGTTGTACTGCTTTCTGAATAGTGTCTTGAAAATCACTGTATGATAAGAAAGTTGTCTCTTCTCACTGGAAAGACCTGAACAACGCTTATTTGATTAGACTTTCAGTTTCAAAACTAGTAAATCAATAATATGTAGAGAGAAATCTTTATAAGGTGTCTTGGAGTCTACGCTCTGGCACTTGGATACACTGGTTACAGAGTTGCTTTCAGGTTGGTTTTGGTGGTGCTGCTACTGTTTGTAAATCAGTGCTGTGACTGTCTTCAGAGCAACAACTCCATCAGTTTGTAAATTAACCTCTCATTTTCTTGATCAAAAGATCTTACTTGAGGGGCACCTGGGTGGCTCAGTGGTTGAGCATCTGCCTTTGGCTCAGGTTACAATCCCGGGGTCCTGGGATTGAGTCCCACATCGGGCTCCCCACAGGGAGCCTGCTTCTCCCTCTGCCTATGTCTCTGCCTCTCTCTGTGTCTCTCATGAATAAATAAAATCTTTTTTTTAAAAAAAAGATCTTATTTTAACACTATTCTCATTGCCTCCATTTTATGCCTATGTTGATTTGATCATTAGACTATGTTCTGCATACTACCCTTCCTAAACTTGCTGAGTTCCCTGTGACTGAGGAAGCAAGTCAGACCTTCCAAATGCTTCCATCTTCTCCAACTTTATAGTCTCATGCAACACTTGACAAGCAAGGAAGATCTCATCAAATAGTCTATGACTTTACTATCTTGATGGTTGTGTTTAGTTTATATTAGTTATTTACATTCTGTCCCTCTTCAAAAACTGTGGATGGTTCAGTTGGGGTTTTCAGCTATTATCAGTTACCCGTCATCAATCACTGTAAATTTTTGAACTGTCAAGTAGACTTCAATATCTTAATGGTTTGAAATACTAAAAGGAATTGAACTAATAAGCAGAATTGCTTCTGCTTCAAAGTATATGCTGGATTAACTCCTAAAGTAGTTAATTACTTCTCAGATGAATCTCTAGTTTGGGGGTAATTAAAGGAACCAGTAAAAAAAAAAATTACTTCTGGTAAAAACAGAAAACTTAGGCCTTTCTCTCAAGCTGGTTACAGTTTGGTTGGAGACAAGACTAATGTATATAAGACAACATGTACAATGTGAGGCATTTGATTACTAAGTCATAATGGTGCTCGGTAAATTAGAGGGGGCCATAATCCCTGAGGATTGGTTAATGAATAAAGGCTTCAGAGATGAGGTAAATTGAGTCAAGTATTAAAGGAGACTAAGGTTTGGAAAGGCAGAGGGAGAAGAGAAAGCATTCCAAGTGAGACGCTGACAAGGGCAAATGCACAGAGAGAAAAACCAGTGTGGTCAATGGGGTGGTCAGCCTGTCTACAACAGGGGTTTGGAGTATTCTGGCAATTATGTAAATTTGATAGATAGGCATCCAATTACGATGGGGCTTTAAAGCTACACAAGGGACGCCTGGGTGGCTCAGCAGTTGAGCATCTGCCTTTCGCTCAGGGCGTGATCCTGCAGTCCCAGGTTGGAGTCCCACATTGGGCTCCCTGAATAGAGCCTGCTTCTCCTTCTGCCTATGTCCCTGCCTCTTTCTCTGTGTCTCTCAGGAATAAATGAATAAAATCTTAAAAAAAAAAATAAAGCTATAAGAGGCTAGTGGTTAGTGTAATAGAAAATCAGAGTCCACTGAGGATTTTGACTTAGGGAGTGATATTATAAAATGTTTTCAGATTCTATTTCTGACAGTGATACAGAGAATGAAGTAAGACTAGAAACAAGGCAGCTGAACTGGCTTAGCAGTAAAGGAAAACAGGACATTCTGACTATAGGCGGGGAAAAGGCAAGAGAGAATTCAAAGGAAATTTCAACCAGCCTTGGTGTCCGGCTAGATGTGGGATAAGGATGGAGTAAAGTCAAGGGTAAATCTGGAGGTGGGTGAAGGCTGGGGTGGGGATTTCAATGACAGAACCAGGGAAGCCAGAGGAAGGAAGTGCCTTTGAATGTGTGGAATTTGAAATGACAGTGACATTTGACACTGTCATTTGACAGTGAGTAAGGAGGTGACATGGTAGAAAGCTGATTTGAGAGTCATGAAACTTTGTTTCAAAACCTTAGTCTGTAACTATCTCCCACTGATAAGGAGAGTAGGACCTGACTCACCTGGCTATGGAATTGACTAACTGTGGTCAGAATGTGAAAGTGTTTTGTAAAGTGCTATCCAAATATGTGTCTTCAGCATTTTACTATGAGTGCATCTTCTCTCCGGCTGCTATGATGCTGAAGAGGATGGAAAACGTCTGTGCATAAATTTCACTCTGGTATTTTTTGAGATAATCATATCTGGTGACAGGGAGACTGGCTGGAAAGCCTTTGTAGGGAAACAGGTAAGAGATGGTGATGAGGATCTGGCCCCAGGTAGTGACAATGCAGTTAGAACTCAAGAGACTTAATATGCTTTTTAGGAGGAACTGATTGGATGTGGGAAATGAGTAAGAGGAAGGATCCTAGGGTGACATCCAGGCTTCTCATATGGGCAATTGATAGACTGTGGTTTAAATTACTGAGAAAGAGAAGATGGAAGGAGGAGAACACTGGATCAGGAAGGAGTATCATGACTTTAGTTTCTACGCTGTGGTACACAGAATCATGCCCCACCCAAAGAAGTCCATGTTCTAATTCTCAGAACCCATGAACATGTTATCTTTTCTAGAAAAGGGCCTTTATAGATGTGATTCAAGATTTTAAGATGAGATTATCCTAGACTGTCTAGATGGGCTCAGTGTCCTTTTGAGTGAAAGAAAGAGGCAAGGAGAGTGAGAGAGTGGAGGGATGTGAGAAAGATGGGCCACTGCTGGCTTTAAAGATGGAAGGGGCTGCAAGCCAAGGAATGGGGATGGCTTCTACAGGCTGCAATAGATGAGAAATGGGCTCTTGGGCAGCCCCAGTGGCCCAGTGGTTTAGTGCCACCTTCAGCTCGGGGTATGATCCTGGAGTCCCGGGATTGAGAGTCCCACATCAGGCTCCCTTCATGGAGCCTGCTTCTCCCTCTGCCTGTGTCTCTGCCTCTCTCTCTCTCTCTCTCTCTCTCTCTCTCTCTCTCTCTTTGTGTCTGTCATAAATAAATAAAATCTTTTAAAAAAAAAGAAATGGGTTCTTACCTAGAACTCACCAAATGTGGGGTGTATGGCTAAAATCTTGATTTTAGCCAAGTGAAGCCTGTGTTGGACTCTGGACCTTCATAACTGTAAAATAACACATTCTGTCATTTTAAGCCACTAAGTTGGTGGAGATTTTTTTGCAGCAGCAATGGAGAACTAATATAAACACATTTGAGGTATGTAGGAATCATCCAAGTCGAGATCTAGGACAGTTTTATATAGAGGTCTGGGATGGAATTATATAGCTATCTATAATTAGTCATTTGCACATGTCATATATATGTGTGTATGTATTTATGTATATTTTAACATCTCTGAAATCAGGATGTGTCTTACAATTGATAATATAATTGTTATTGTCAGGGAACAGATGTGCTGTCTATGCACGTCCAGGTGGCTAGACAAACAATGTTATCTCTGGACATTTCAGTCAACAAAACCCAAAGACTGTTTGAGAAAGGTATGTGAGTTGTTGTCTGAAGACTCTCTGTTAATAAGTTTTGGTAAGCTCAAGAAAGAGCCAACCTAAAAATCTTCAGTGTAGGTGTCAATGACTTGGAAGAAATTCTTCAAGACATTACTAATTCTTTCAAGTAATGTCAATTTATCAATGTTCTTGATAGAACAAGAGATAGCGCTATGATGCAAAAACAAACATATAGATGAATTTGAGTCAAAAAGTAGCTCCGAGGAGGTGGATTCCAAAAAATCTTAAATAATATATTGATCAATATAGTGTGCTTATAATTCCTTTTTATACACGCACAAGTCTAAAAGAACTTTTAAAAAGTTATGAAATGAAACTTTTAAGTGATATGAAAGCATCATGTCAACCTAATTAACACCATGCTTTACTCCTGCCATTCACAGAGTAATGGTGAACCTTACAATCGAAAGGACTCTAAAACTTGACGGTCTTTATAGCCATAGAGATGGCTAAAAGATTCAGAAAATACAGAACAAAAAGAGCAGAAGATTCGCTGAAAAAGTCTCAGAAATATCAGAATCAAATAATTTGAAAATATGTATCTAGAGCCACAAAAATATTTATACTCCTTAATCCCATTTTGGGTAATTTATCCTAAGAAAGTCATCTAAAAGAATAAAAAAAAATGATTAGACAATGGAAGGTTACTTCCATGAGGAACTGACATGGATGACAGTATCAGAAGCTGACCTATAACAATGAGTCCCAGCACTCTGACACTGGCAAGTACACTACACCTCATGCCAATTGAGAAATGCAGTTCATAGTTATTCAGAACATGGTAGTAGCTTTGGTGAGTCATGACTTGTGTACGGATACTCTTTTGCCCTTTCCAAAAGGGTATACAGAGCATCTTGACTTCTCTGTGTAATCTCAGGTTTATACTTACCAAGACATAGGAGATAATTGGATCAGTTTGAGCCCATCCAACATGGTGCCATGCTGTTGGGCAGAGTGTCTTACAGAGCCACTTCATGGGCCTTTCTGATATCCAGCCTAAACGTGTCTCCTTTGGCCCAGACACAGATCTCTTGGTCCACTCGTACCTAGAGTACAAAACTTTATGAGGAAAGAATTGTCTGTGGCTATTTTCCTCAGAGGCAGGCTATGACCATGGCAGGTATTTAGAATTTCATGGACTATCTAGAACTACACAGTTTAGGAAGGGAGAAGGGGTACATTTTTTGTTACAGAAAAAGGGAGATAATCTAAATATCCAAAAACAGTGAAGTAGATTATTTCATTATTTTAGTACATTCACTCAATAGAATTTTATTCACATTTTGAAGATGACAATTACAATAACAAGTAGCAGCATGGAAAAAAAGAGAAATACAATACTGAACATAACTACTAGTGAAGCTTCATAAAAATACGTATTTATATTGAAAATGATCATAGTTGCATAGGGAATGGGATTTATGAGTGACTATTTTCTCTATAATTTGAATTTTATGAGGCATGATGTTATTTTATAATCATAATAAAAATAAGAGAAAACACGATCTGAACAACTGTGGTTTATGAAATAAAGTCCTCAATCTAACTTCAAAAAAGATATATAATCTGGAGTTGCAAACTACTAAAATACGAAATAATTAATAGAAACTTTAAGACAAGTGACCAATAAAGGTCTGATCTGAATAAATAATGATTTAAAATGGACTCATAAAGCCCCAAAACAGAATAACCATTTAGTTTCATGTTCCTTCATCAGAAGTAAATTTGTTACCAATACAGTGTTTCTTACAAAATCCAAAATAGATTTTTATATAACTTCTTTCTTAATAACGTTCTTAACATCTTCAAAGATCTCAAAAGATTTTCTCATATAAGAAGCTTTTCTAACTCTAACAAGTGGGTAGTAATGGTCAGTCTCATTTTGTGGTGGAAGAATTGTTTAAAGACATGTTCAAGATAATCCACTGCCCAAATATTCAAGTGAAAAATATAGTTAGCCTTTTGACTGCTTAACTGATAACAACTGCCCAGCAATCTGTACTCATCGAGCATTGCTGAGCAGTAATTTTCCAGCTACATGAAACTCATGTCTTTAGATATCAAGGACTCCCACTCCTACATTGAGAATTATTCTCTTCATCAATGCATCAAAATTTTCTGTACCTTCTTAAATGTATATTGAACATAATTTAGCCTTTCAAAATGGAGAGTTCTAGTTATGAAGATGATTTATCAACAAGGATATACTAACTTCTTTGCAGTGATGACTTCTTAGATTATTTAGAATTATAATCATTTTTTTTGGAAAAATGGCCCCAGATATATTTTTACCTTTTGCATTCTTGAATATATATGTGCATATACACACAAAGACACATGTGCAAATACACACACGGATTCCATCCTGGCAAACCTGCCTACTTTCTTACTGCCTCTTCTTCTTCTTCTTTTTTTTTTTTTTTTTTTTTAAGATTTTATGTTTTTATTTATTTGAGAGCTAGAGAGCGAGCAGCGGAGAGCAAAGGGAGAAGGACAAGCAGATTCCCCACTGAGCATAGAGCCTGATGCAAAGCCAGCATGGGGCCCATGAAGGGTGATCCCACAACCCTGAGATCATGAGCTGAAATCAAGAGTCTGATGCTCAATCGCTCAACCAACTGAGACACCCAGGGGCACCCTTACTGCCCCTTCTTAATTTCTTTTTCTTTTTTTTTTATAAAGATTTTATTTATTTATTCATGAGAAACATACAGAGAGAGAGGCAGAGACCCAGGCAGAGGGAGAAGCAGGCTCCATTCAGGGAGCCCGATGTGGGACTCGATCCTGGGACTCCAGGATCACGCCCTGAGCTGAAGGCAGACGCTTAACTGCTGAGCCACCCAGGTGTCCCCCCCTTCTTAATTTCTACTTCTAATTTGCTTTGAGCATAAACACTAGTAAGCAAGTTTGTAAAAATGTGTTGTAGAACAAGAGTTTAAAAGCTTACTTCGGGTACTTATATATATGTAAAATTGTAAGTGTAAGGATGCAGTTATTTAGAGGCTCCTTTATGGAGAGATGAGATTGTTGGAAAAAGAAGCCCTAATTAAGGAAAGGTTGAGAAATAGTTATGTACTAGGGACCTTGTATTTTATGCCTCACTCCTTGACTTCTAGAAGATTCCCCGTTTATCTGGAAGTGCCCACCCCTCCATCTATGTGTTATAATGGGAAAAGCAATGGTTGGGTGCTATGTTCCCCTCTCACTATAGGGTCATAAATGTTTGGCACAGGTAGGCACATGACTGAAGACTGGCCATTTATTTTCTTCCCTGGACATTTGAAATCAGAAGGAAAAGACAGAGAAAGGGAGAAAAACCAGTCCCTCTTTAAGTGGCTGGATGCATCAGATGAAAATTCTGTGAACTGGTAAAGGTCATAATTTCCATCCCATGAACACAAAGGAAGAGAAGGCATTAAGAGAGGATGGAGCAGATGCACAGAGAAAAGAACGGTAGGAGAGGCCAGACAGCTTCTAGTGCCTTCCTGAAGCCCAGCTAAATCTTTGTCCTTGAGTTCTATGTAACCTAGGGTGACTTTCAAAATACTTAACAGTGGCATAGGAAAAAAAAAAATCAGGTGAAGGTCAGATGGCTGCTACACAGTCCTGGAAGTATGCTGCCCTTCCAGGCATTACCCTTTTTGTGATGGAGCACAGAATCCTGAGAAATCCCCAGAAGATAAGCAGGGGTGGCTGAGGCATGAGGAGGCCTTTGGGGGTCTCAGAGCAACCAGGAACAGAGCATTTTTTAATTTATTTTTAAAGGAAAGAAGAATCCCCCCCCCCTTTTTTAAGATTTATTTATTTAAATAGACATAGAGAGAGAGGCAGAGACACAGGAGGAGGGAGAAGCAGGCTCCATGCTGGGAACCCAATGTGGGACTCGATCCCAGGACTCCAAGATCGCACCCTGGGCCAAAGGCAAGCGCCAAACTGCTGAGCCACCCAGGGATCCCCAAGAATTCCCTTTTTAAAAAAGAGTTTATTTATTTATTTGAGAGAGAGAGAGAGCATGCATGCATGAACAAGGGCAGAGGCAGGCAGAGGCTCCTTGCTCAGCAGGAGCCTGTTGCATTTCAGGGCTCAATGCAGAGTTCCATCCCAGGGCTATGGGATCATGACCTGAGCCAAAGGTAGACCCTTACCCCCACTGAGCCACCCAGGCGCCCCAGGAACAGAGCATTTAAAAATGTAAATATCACAGAGGAAGACCTAGACATGGCCAACATGCACATGAGAAAATGCTCTGCATCACTTGCCATCAGGGAAATACAAATCAAAACCACAATGAGATACCACCTCACGCCAGTGAGAATGGGGAAAATTAACAAGGCAGGAAACCACAAATGTTGGAGAGGATGTGGAGAAAAGGGAACCCTCTTACACTGTTGGTGGGAATGTGAACTGGTGCAGCCACTCTGGAAAACTGTGTGGAGGTTCCTCAAAGAGTTAAAAATAGACCTGCCCTACGACCCAGCAATTGCACTGTTGGGGATTTACCCGAAAGATACAGATGCAGTGAAATGCCGGGACACCTGCACCCCGATGTTTCTAGCAGCAATGTCCACAGTAGCCAAACTGTGGAAGGAGCCTCGGTGTCCATCGAAAGATGAATGGATAAAGAAGATGTGGTCTATGTATACAATGGAATATTACTCAGCCATTAGAAATGACAAATACCCACCATTTGCTTCGACGTGGATGGAACTGGAGGGTATTATGCTGAGTGAAGTAAGTCAATCGGAGAAGGACAAACATATGGTCTCATTCATTTGGGGAATATAAAAATAGTAAAAGGGAATAAAGGGGAAAGGAGAAAAAATGAGTGGGAAATATCAGAAAGGGAGACAGAACATGAGAGACTCCTAACTCTGGGAAATGAACTAAGGGTAGTAGAAAGGGAGGTGGGTGGGGGGTGGGGGTGACTGGGTGATGGGCACAGAGGGGGGCACTTGATGGGATGAGCACTGGGTGTTATTCTATATGTTGGCAAATTGAACACCAATAAAAAATAAATTTATAAAAAAACAAAATAAAAATGTAAATAACCAACATCACCATATAAGAGCAATCAACCAACTATCAGCCTTGTCTGTGTCCTTATAAAAAATTCTGCTTTTTCATTTCAGGTAGTTTGAGTGATTTCTGTTATATACAACTGTAAATCTAAAAAATATGATTTGTGCTGTGTCATGGTTTGCCATCTATTTTGCTGACTGAATCTGATGGTAATTTCAGAAAGACTTAGGGGCTGGAATGAATTCTGAAGTAATTTTGTCCAGTCTCCCACTCAAATTTACTTTTCATTCAAATAATTTATCGCAAGGAAGAAAAAAATCTGACCCTTTAATTTAGTCAAAGTACAAGGAATAAACACACTAATTAGTTTTGTTCATGTTACAATGTAATACATGGTCATTGCAGAAAATTATTTTAAATCAAGATTAAAAAAAAAACTCTTCTCCAATCATTAACTTCAGAAAATTACTGTTAACACTTTGATTTGCTATATCCTTATTTTCTAGTTTTTGCAAGAATAGTTTTACATGGCAGCCATGTCTTAATATATTATGCTCTTTCTTTCCACAAAAATCCAGATTTTAAAAATCTCTTATCCTGTATTACATTTCTTGGTGTTGAGGCATTGGGGGAAGGGAGGAGGACAGATCTCAGAGTTCTTCGAGGTACAAGGTTTATGTAGCTCTTTGCTCCTTGCGCACAGTGCAGATCTCAGGAGAACAGGGTTGACCTTATTTCCAGGCAGAATTATTCATGTCACTACTTTTACTTTGGAAGCTGCTTAGCAAGTCATGTCTGACTGTATGAGAAGGGATGAATTTACACATTCAGCAGCAGGTGCACTGAAGTCAACTAAGTCCATTATTTAATCTCCAATATTAGCTCCCGAATTGCAAAATGGGAGGAAGACAAATGAGTTATGAAACCTCATATATCACTTAGCTTCCTTACTTTTATCCATTGGGAAGGAAAGTCTTGTCAAGTAAGAAAAGCTGTTTGCATTTAATCACTTAGACTTCTATCTAGA